GCTCAGTGCAGGCCACTGATCAAGTAGAACCCTAATGAAAAACTACGAGTTGGGCATGAGTCCAAAAGTGACATGGAGGAGATCGTGTGAGGAGAAGATGAGAGACTATGGGAAACCGCATATCCAAATGGAGAGGACTTCAGAGAACAGTAAAAAATAGAGACGTCCTGCTGAATCCCTATGATCCACTCAGAACCCAAGGGAATAATAATATAAATAATAATTATGATTTTCATTTCTATTAATGAACGAAATATTCCCACACTGAGTCATAAGAAAAAGACGTAAACAGCGAAGAAAATTTTCTTTTCGACGATTCATTTTCATAAGATAATAAAAATAAGCAAAATTATAGTAAGAACTTTACTCTGGCCACGGTATCGTGAGTGAATGTATATAGGGCGCTTTTGAATGCAGAGGTCCGATTTTACATCCCGAATAGCTAATGCTTCAACTATGTACAGATGGCATATGCGAAGTCACCTTTTACATTACCATTAACGGTAATCATTATTATTTTGATGATGATTCCTTTCTTGCATTCCAACAGGAACACAAAGCTTTAGCAGCACATCGCCATTGTGCTCTATTCTCTGCTACCATTTTCAGCCAGCTATTCGATTTGACGTTTGTACTGAAAATCCGAAGCATCAACAACAAAATTTGGATTTTCAATACAAATGTCAAGTCAGTTTTGCTATTGATAGGATCCCACACACTTTGTTATTGTTCAATTATTTTAACGACTGTTAATCTTGCATAAGTTGTATATTATCATTTCCCAGGCACTTTGTTATTGTTCACTTATCTTAACGACTGTTAATCTCGCATAAGTGGTATATCATCATTTCCCACGCATTTTGTTATTGACTATTACGACCAATTATTTCAAATACTGTTAGCTGTCTGTATTGGTTGTAAAAATGTATAAATACCATTTCCTAAATAAGTTTCTTTGTCGTCGTCGTAGTAGTCGTAGTTGTTGTACTACAATACACAGTCACAGACCAGCTTTTGTCTTTTGATATTTGCGTGGTTCGCTGAATCGGAAGGTACCAGAAGCAGATAGGCATATTATTCAGGCGCAGACAGAACAAGGCGACAACGTCCTCATTTAATTCCTCTACAGTCATAACAGCTATACGGATCAGAAACTTGGTATGTCACAAAGAATATTTCCAACAGCCTCTTGCACACCTTTATCGACAACTGTTTTCGCTCTATACTGAAGATCAGATGGCCGGAAAGAATCACCAACAAGAAACTATGGGGACAAACAAATCAGGAACCAATCGCCCAACAAATATGCAGGAGAAATTGGAGTTGGATTGGACAATCGCTGAGGAGGCCACTGGGTGACATCGCGCGTCAGGCCATAGCTCGAGTGGAACCCGAAAGGGAAGCGGCGAGTGGGACGTCCAAGTGTGACATGGAGGAGATCGTGTGAAGAGGAGTTGAAACAGTATGGACTAACATGTATGCAGGTGAAAAGTACAGCAGAGGACAGAAGCAAGTGGAGACGTGTAGTTGAAGCCCTGTGTTCCACTAGGAACCCAAGGGAACAAAAATAATAATAATAATATTCGATTTTCCACAAGCATTTATTTCCCCTCAGCATGATGTTCAGATTTCAAACTCGTCACTTTTCATTCAGTTTCCACATGAGTGTTTGACATATATGATGTCACTTTGAGGTCTCCTTAGCGTATGTCTAATCAATATCTACTTTGTTCTTCATATTTATTAGGTAATAGGTTCTTGGTTGATCCTCCTGGAAAGAACCTTGTAACTTATTGCTTCTGATCAGCTATCTTGTCATCAGTATTTGGGGTAAACTGTGTATTAATCTGCAGAGAATAGTGCGAGAAAACACACAGCTGGATTTCTTAATATTCAACTTACAGCTGATGCCTTTCCGTTGTACAAATAGTATGTCAAGCTAATACCTTTTCAACTAAACGAAATTCGATCATTAAAAGTTATGAGTAAAGTTGACGCAGTAGGTATATTTCATCATAATGCCCTTGAATTTGATTTAAAACAAGTAATCACGTTGAAAAATGCAGTATTTAATGAATTCATAAATTTCTGTGGGAGGACTTGTCATCTGACTACTCCTCTACAGACATTCTTATTAATACAATTTCTTTTAAAGGTTAATCACATACAAACACATGAACATTGTGACAACAAAAACAGGTACCAATTTCGACAAATATATTATGATCTATGAGCGGTGAGTGATAATCTGTTAGCGTCATTATTAAGTGAATAATACTCATCAAAGTGCAAATTAACAAATAACCGATGAGGAGATAGTGCAAGCAACAGGCTAACAGATAAGACATCGATCCTTGCCACATCAAAATGTGCATATGAGTTTACATGTGTTTTTTTAAGCAAATACGTTGAGCGTACAGAAAGATGTCTGTCATCTCACGTTGCCGAACACTCCCGCAAATGGCTTTCTGGTATTTGTCATGACATCCCAAGGAGCTCACTCATGAGACATTTATTGAATTGTGATCATAGGGTGACGCTGTTAATAAGCAAGTTAATAAAAACGCTCTTGGCTTTGCTGAAACTTGTGCGATCAGACTAAAGAAGCCGTATCTATTTATACAAAAGGAGACAGTAGTTAGCTTCAATCTGTTTTATTAATTTTGATTATTTCCTTTCCCTTCGCTCTTCTCTTCAGGATGTTTTTCCCATTATTGCTAATATTATTTTAGCTAACACACTCTTAATTTTCTCAGGATATGTACAAGTCGAAAATCACAGATAACTACTAATCTTGGTGAGGAGTGTCCAAATTATCTAATGAGTTTAAATCAGACATATTAAAATTCCACTGCTAGTCACCACCCACCAACTGACTTTAAGTTACATAACCAGACATCGTCGAAGCATCTGCACAAGGAGCTGACATGTCAGCCTGAGACCGAGCACTTCGGTCCAATCAGTCGACGGGAAAATCTTTTTATTTAGTCCTATGTGGTTGACATATTTTTAGTTTATTTATTTGTGTTTTTCACGAAGTTCCCTTATATTTTAATATTACCAGATCTAGATGTTTATAATAGTCAAGATTTGTTTTGTAAGGATTAAATTTGTTTTACGAATTAGGCCACTTATTGATATCGGTTAGAGAACCATTGAAAACCACTTGGGAGTACTGGACATCTGTTTCATCCTAGTGCTTGCGAATCATCGGCAGTACGCACCCACTGCCAGGGTTCGAACCCAGGACCTTCCGGTTACAAGGCAAGCTTGTATATCCTTCAGCCACTGGGGCCCAATTCAACGGCCCATGATTTCTAACTTCTACCAATTCATGATTTTAGCACGACCACCAACCAATGTCATCGGCAGGAAATCCATCCTCACTCCTGACTGGATGGATCTTACTGGTCACGACTTTATAATTCTACTACTTCTACCACGATAACACTAGTTTGTATGTTAATAATGTACTTTGAAGAATATTATTCACCTAATAATGATCTTAACAGAAAATGACTCACAAAACTTATAGATGAGATCCTCCAACCAAATGAAAGAAAATCCCTACAAACCAATACTTGAAGACTGATCATATATTTGTTGAAAATGATACTGATTTGTTGTGATAATGTTCATGTGTTTGTATGTATTTAACCTTAAAAGCGACTTCATGTCAATAATAATATTTGTAGAGGAGTATTCAGCTGATGAGTCCTTCTTAGGGGATTTATGAAATGATTGGATACTGCTTTTTTCCACAGTTAGTGTTTGTTTAAAAGTTAACTACGGGAAAGAAATGTTTTTAATGAATTTTGTCGTTTCATTTTTTCCTTGTTATGAATACAATTCATCTAAATGGTTTCCATTTAAATTATTTGTCTGAAAAATAAATTTCACCATATATCTGGTCGAGGGTCAGTCTTTAAAAACGTAAGGAAATACAAACAGGCCTTAAAACAATTAGTTCCCTTTATGAATTTAGACAAAACAATAAGATGACGTAATTTGTCTGAATCGTGTAATGTATTTGCGCAACACACACATGGGCTTGTCATAGGAATACATATGAAATTAATAAAGAGTTAAGAGGTGATAAAATGGACTTAGGTCAAGTTTAAAGGATGTACTTAAAGTCTAAATACCAATGAAGATCACTAAACCAGGTAAGAGAGGTAATAGTACATCTTCCCTGACTGGTATCAAAATAAAGTTTACCAACGAATGTAGATTTAGTGTGATGACGAATTATTGCTTTGAACGCATAAAGGTTTGGTTTAATCTTCCCAAAACTTCCTATGGCTTCCACAAACTTTAGGATACGCCCCAAACACTTCCTACAGACAGGTTTAAAAGACATGTTAACATCAATTTTATGTCCTATCTCGCAATAGAGGAGCTAGGTATCCTGTTCTCATTTTAAATGGGTTCTGAGGGATACTATTCACTTCTGAAGTAGCCACTTAGGAATATTCTCTGAAGCCGTTACTTCCATGTATCGATGGGTTCTTCCTGTATATGTGTGACCACACATAGATTCAAACAGATTTAAATATTTTATTTATTCACAATGAACTTATAAAAGCAGTCAAGAGTCATCAAGTAAAATGAAACCAGATATTTGTACATCCAAACCGTAATGGACATTTCATTGAATATAATAATAATCATATGTCCTGATTAGTGCAGAACAGGTAGGAGAATATAAACTAATACTAATTTCGTAGATGCTGACTAGCAGTGGATCCCAGGATGCGCATTTCGTCCTATTTGTGACTCATCATCTGGATTCACCTGCATTCCTGAGTAAGTCATAATGTTTCCACCGAGACTTGAATTCTGTTTCAGAACCCAATCGTTTCCAACACCAGAGCATTATCCACTAGACCGCTTGGACCACGGGGGTTCACAACGAGCCGACATATCAGCAGAGGTCGAACACTTCGGTCTCATCAATCAAAAGGAAAGTTCAAAACTGAATTAAATACAACAATACTAACCTGAATTATTACGTTCGTGATTTGACATCCGTTTAATGCCTTTCTCTAAACGTTTTTCAAAGCTTTCTATATCATCTATACACTTGTTGAGCATATAAAAATTTCGTCCACTTTCAAATTTTGTAGGAACTATTTTCTAAAAAATTAAAATAAATACAAAACAATATTTAAACAAATAAATGGATAAAGGTGAAATTTATTGCAATAAAATCTGTAAAAATTAAAAATTAATTAATGGTCTACGAGCTAGCTCGCCTTGTAACCAGAAGGTCCTAGGTTCGAACCTTGGTGATTGGTGATGAAGAGTCATAAACTAGGACGAAACAACTGTCTAATACTCCCAGATTTTCAAATGGTTCTCTAACCGATGTCAGCTCATGATGAAATCCTCCAACCAATCAAATAAATAAGGGTTTTATTGTGTTAATTATCTACGAAAATATATACTCATTTTGTTTTGTATTCAATTTGCCTCGAATTATTTTAATAATGTTATTCATGTGTAAAACTGAAAAACTAGTGCTCAGAAGACTGTTGTGTCTCTAATCCTCGAACACTGTTTAGTAAAAATTCTCATTAGAAGTAGTTTTGATTGTAACAACAGAGTTGATTATATCGTATATCATATGTACAGTTTAGATGCTGTTGAAATGTATTCAATTTTTTTTCCTGAAAATGACATTCAGAATACAACACTGATGAGAACAATGAACTGAATAAAAATCGGTTTCAACTACAGGTGGAACGGACGAAGATGTCAAAGTAGGTCAGAATCGGAAAGGCAACATACGCCTTCATCAACCTGAGACCAGTTTGGAAATCTTTAGCACTCAGCATAACTAACAAGATTCGCATTCTCGACACCAATGTCAAGTCGGTCCTTCTATATGGGTCAGAAACTTCCACATTGAGTGTGTCATGAAAGCGGTTTCCAAAAGGTTGCAGAATTTCATCAACAGCTGCCTTCGTTGGCTCCATACTGAATATCAGAAGGTCAGAAAGGGTTAGCGACAAGCAGCTCTGACAGGCAACAAACCAAACACAAACCTATTGCTCAACAAATATTTCGAAGAAAATAGAGGTCGATCGGACACACACACACACACTGAGGAGACCGTAAGGTGAAATTGCGCCCCAGGCCCGAATGGGAAATGAGGAGTTGGGTGCAGTTTCGAGGCTGACATGGCGTAGATCGTGGGAGGAATTGATGACAGCTTATTGAGGATTATGGAGGAATGCAGAGGGTACGGTGGAATAGAGATGTTCTGTTGAAGTCTTGTCTTCCACTTGGAACCCAAGGGAATGACAATAAAAATAAGAAGAAGAAGATTTAAATAACACGAATGTATCATGAAGATGTTAGCCGATGTTTTTATTCGAAATATGCAGAGAATGTATACCTTTAGTAAATATACTAAAAATGACTGAAACTCAGAAAATACTAATTTTATATCATAAGACCAACATAAAAGCTTGTCTACAGCTGCAATAGTTCGCCCTGAGAGACTTCAGAAAGACATCTAAATAAAAGGTGAACAGATAGATACCGAAACGAAAATTTGAAAATATTAGACGAGAAAGAATAATCAAACAAAGATTAGTGATGCTTTCGAAGCTGAGTGAAAATACATTGTCATATTGTCAACGACTAATCGTTTCCAATTGGTAATTGCCAGTATTGCTGGCTTTCATTTGAAACAGCATTGATATCCACACATATCTTAAACCAACGGTAGGAGAATTCATATGTTGATCTGACTAAGGATACTTTTCGTGCCACGAAATCTCATTGCAGTAAAGATATTTACATCAACGTGTTTAACCACTTGGAGTGATTAACACATACGACATGATGAAATGATAAGTGATCTGCCTTGTCTTGTCTCGGCCTAAAATTTATTTCGCAGCCGGCTAGTCAATATATATAAGTATATATGTCATTCCATCTGCGATTGGAAATCTGTAACTACCTCTGGAAAATCATTAAGACAAATAAGTAATAACTTGATTCAAGCAGAATGTTCAACATTTTTAAAAACACAAACGTGGAAAAATGGATTGTTAAGACTGATGTGAATTAACGAAAACAAAATACGTATTTGAGGGAAGAGGTTATTTTCGGTGAATTGATTTTCTTTAGCTACAGCCAGGTATATTGATACTTTTGATGCGTATCCTGCCTAAAAGATTTCAAGAACAGTCTCCCTCATGGTTTCAGAAAGGCAGCAGTAGCTCTATAAACAGTGCGATAATCAAACGCCTTGTTAACACTGGTCATTTCTTTGATTGGACACTAGTGACTACGTAGAATGGTGGCCATATTGCAAACCTGACTGACAGGATTCAGTTTGCTCTAAACAAAGGACTAGATACATCGCATTAGTTGCTAGTGTCCAGTCAAAGTATCCAATACAGTCCTACAGGAGGTCAGTCACGAGCCTGAATAGCTAGGTCAGTGGCAATGTCTGTGGCTGCAGCACTGGGTGACGCGGGTTCGAATCTGAGAGAGAACATGAGTTCCTTCAAGGTTGCAGATACACCTTGTTGACTGGTGAGTGCCAACTTGCACGAAACCTAGGTGAAGCAAGGCTTCCTGTGGCCGATTGCCTCCAACCATCTAATATCAGTGGTTATTTCATCTCAACAAACTCATTCTTCAAAGTAAATCACACAGTGAAGAATCGCTTGACAAAGGCAATAAGCTTTAGTTTCATTTTCTTTGCTGAAGCTGTAGCCATTGGGACAGGGAAATTATTCAACCACTTCTACTATCATGATAAAAATCTTGTTGATTTTTATTTTTTCTATTTTTCTAACTCCTTATAACTCTTGTATTTCTCTAGAACTCTTAAACAATTCCATATTTTTCTTCATTTCTATGTGAATCCTGATTACAACTCATTCATTGAATTATTCACCTTACCACGTAACTCTTATACACTTATTTAACTTCTCTTATACACTGACTTATATTAACAACAACTATGATTGTGATAACTGATCACTTTTGTTATTACCCTCTTTCATGAAAAACAGTTGTATTTAAATGCGATTGTAAAGCTAAAGGGGAAAATGAATTTGCCAAAAACAGCCTCTTCGTTGAGCTACTTGTTTTGTTTTCATTATTGTCTGAATGCCGATGTTGTCATTTATATACACACTATTATTATTATTTATTTTATTCCCTTGCGTTCCAAGTGGAAAATAGGGTTTCAGGCTAGAGCTTGGAAGTTTCGGTAGCAGTTGTGTTTACTTTTACGGGATGGGTTCGCTAGCCTCATGCCCACCCTTCCCTGTTTGCCAGGCTTATTACTAACTAAGAGAGGTTTGAGAGTCCGTCCGCCAAGGTTCCAACCCCGAACATTCTACTTCTGCGCCACTGACGCACATATATACTTTTATTTACTTTTTTATTTTTGATTACTGCTTGATTTCACATCATATTTTTGGTAAAGGTATGGAATTTTCAGCATACGTGATGGTAGCCCAAATTTTTCAGGCCGGCCATAGATATCAGGTGTGCGTCGGCAGGGGATCGAACCCCGGACCATGTGCATGATCGGCGAGGGTGATAACCGCTGTGCCACCAACGCACCATATGGCTATGGAATTAAATGCCATAAAACTACTTATCGTATAATTTTAAAACAGGAAATGGTGAAGAAAAAACACGACGTTCGACGAAAAGAGATGCAATAAGTTATTATCTGCTTAAAAAGGTGACATTTCAATGGATGCAAACAACTGCTACTTTTAACTTCTTACATTTGCAATAGTGATGACGAATGTGATTAAATCAATTAAATTTTCTCACTCTTTTATAATTACAGCAAAATGTAATGATCAGTCATTGTCATTTACCTTCTTTATTGTAGGTGTTCGTCATTTTTAATCTTTGTTTTACCTCTGTGGCAGTGATACATAATAAATGACAGGCTTCTTCTATGTATATATAAAGTTTAACCTACATTTTTTTCTGTTTACCCGTGGGAAAGTTTATTATCATTTGCATGAATTAGCAATATTTAACTGTTTTCCATAATTATATAATTAAATTGGTTAGCCTAATTAATTGAACAGAAATCACGTCAGTAAAACCTGCTAACTAGATCGAAATGGTGAGAACACTGGACGACTGTTATGGTGGTTTACGGTGAGAATCATCTACAGTGTACTCGGGTGTGTACATCAGCCACAAAACAAGTGAAACAGCGATCTCATGTTTAAATCATTCAGATCTATGGAGTTTGTAACAATAAGATTGTACACTTGTTTTTTGTTATATGTTAAAATTATAAACATTGTACACAACTTTTGTTTAAAACGATTAATCATTTCTATTGCCGATATGTTGATGATACATTTATAGTTGTTAAGATAGAAAGTGAGACTAAGGACATATGGGATAAATTCAGTAGAGCAGATCCTAGCATAAGCTTCATTAAGATAGAAGAAGAAAATAACTCTATTCCCTTTTTCGATGTCTTAATGACTAAACTCACAGACGGAACAATATGTAGACGTTTACACAGAAAACCTGCTACTACTGGACAACATACTAACATCCTGAGGTTCGTACCTCTACAATACAAACGTAATCTCGTTAGATATCTGGTTTACCGGGCTAGAGTTATCTGTTCAAATGAGACAATGAACGAAGAACTCAGTAATATTTTCGACCTACTAAGTAGAAACAGATATTTAACTAAATTCATGAACAAATACATGAACTCAGAAATTAAAAATTCGAAATTGCTGACTGTTTCCAAAAAATCGGTCTTCCCAAGATTACAATTCACGGGTGATGTTAATAGCAGGATCTTATCACAACGTCTGCGAAGGGCCTTCAAAAGGACTTGCAGCGCAGCTAAGGTATGCTGTGTATTCATTAGCCAATCAATACTTAGTTCAAGAAATAAAGATAGACTGCCCTGTTTCGCCTCTTCTATGTGTGTTTACCAGTTTAACTGCCCGTGCGGAACTAATTACAGTGGACGTGCGATGAAGCGATTTCATGGTCAAATTTGCGAACATCCATCTTGGTTTAGCAAAGGTCCGAATAAAGCTATACGCAGCTTAATACTAGCTCATGTCACAGATACTGGACATCAAGCTGACTCTAACAAAGCTTTTAAA